TTGGGGATATTTGTTTTGAATTATGTTTTGAGTATTTGATTTATGTTACATTAACACATTTATTATAATGTCATTCCGTGTCTATTTAATACATGTCACTCATTGTTAATTATGTGCGCTTTCAATTACGTCTATAAGGTGTCATATTCTGATACATTATGGGGATTAATGTAACGGCGTTGACCAGGTGTATGTATTTAGGTGATAGATTTCAATGAAAATGTAACACTGATAGATGAAACACATTTAACAGAATACTTCATATTGCATCAGAAGGATAGGCATACATCTTCCCAGCTGGAGATGTCAGTGTTAACAGCCGATACAAACTGTATGCGCATCCTAGAACTTGCTATTCCTCAGGAATTACGCGCCTGTGTGAAACGAAAGTGAAATCTATACGACATGGATCTATAATAAGCACCATATGAGGGCTAGGCGCAGCCCGCCCTGAACGTGTTGATATGACTCACTTCCTGAATGGAGACGAAGCGCACAGAGGAGATATCTGAACCTTATTATATATCTCCTCGAGAATCTTTATCGAGCTGTGATTTAACACCTGATTTAATATGTATGACATTTTTTGTATGAACATTTTCGTTTCCTTTTCGGACACAATCTATGATAAAGTTGACAACCAAGATGGCACGGAGCAATCTTAGTAAACCCATTGCTGACCTGAATTGAAATATATTTTGTCTATTAAGTGTATCAAGTGACTTCAACGTACACACTACTGTAGAAATGTACTCAAGAATAAGGACACACATTTCTCACGGTGATGCAGATAGAATATTGTACATTTCATGCCGTCAACATATACAATGTCGTTAGACATATGGTAGGCACCAACATTCAAATTAATATGACTAGACCCGTGACGATCTCGGGTAATATAGGTCTTCAGGAATCCATGCTTGCCGTAGAAGCATGTCGTATGAGGCGACTTAGAGGATCGGTTGATGCATGTCATCGTATCCCAATTGCGTGGATCGATGCTCCTGATATCAAACACTTGATTGTCTGGCCCAAACTCGATTATTTACAGACAGCCCTCACATAGCTGGAATATTGCGTCTTTAAACAACATCGATGTAGCGCATCAGGTGTCATTTTGGGATGTGACCTCCTAAGTGTTTGTTACATATCCTAACAGTACTTATGAAGGGCGTGTGAATGTTTGTGTGCAGTAGCTGTTCCATCGCCAAACTGACACTGTCTTGATCTGTTCCAGAGTAATCACTGGATGCAAAAAACAACTAATATAAATATCACAGACACATGGGGTTGAAAATTTGAAGAAAACAATGCCCGACAAAATGCACTGAGCAGTAACAGTTTCCCTAAATGAACACTCACCCGGTTCATGCAATAAGACTCACAGTCTGTAATATTGATGTTTCCGTATATAGCATGGTGCAATGAAAAGAGATGAACACTTGCAGTAATTATTTGTCATGCGTAACTGTGACACGTTTTGGTCTAACTAGCTACTCGCTAAAGCTGCATAGATTTAATTGTTTTGCTAATCTGAATTGTTGGCTGACTGAATTTTATATGAGCAAGCGTTTTTAACGTGTGTTAATACATCTGTAGCCTTGAATAGGTATCGGTGTGCGAAAGGACATGGGGATACAGACTAGAGTTTTTATTCGTCAAGTGGGTGAGTGAGTTGGGTTTAACGCCGCTTTTAACAGTCTTCCACTTATATCGCGGCGTGTCAGCTTAATGTGGGAGGAAAGCCCGAAGTGATGCAGGTCTCAGACGTTTACCATTTCGGAGAAACCCGCGAGCACGGGTATGGTGCTGACAAACCTAGAAACATAATTGGGGCGAACCGGGATTCGAACCCACAATCATAGGTTTCTGGCGTGCCCAAGGGACGCAACTCTGACGACTGGGCCACCCGTGCCTCCTTATTCGTCAAGAGGTCAGATACAAAATATACTTGGTTACCATAGGATCTATACCGACACGCAGCGCTCCATAATAGAATAAAGATCTTGTCATCAATAAAATATCTTGCTTTAGGGCTCAGTCACACATTCAGGATTTTTACTGCCGTCCTTGATAGGACCATTCCTATTAAAATTTGTCAAAAATCTGATCAAGATGCTGTGATTCGTGGCGGAAAGTTCACACATTTGTAAAAACATTTATTTAATCACGACAGCAATGAGATATTGTTCAGGAAGCGTCCCGATCAAGCCGTTTCTAGCCGAATTCGTCCCGATTCTCCCGTTCTCAATCCGAATCTTATCCGATTTTTTTCCTGATCGACAAGAAACGGCAATGAAAAATTTCTAAATGCTGTCACACATTCAGAATTTTTACTGCCGTTATTGATAGGACCATTCCCGATTAAAATTTGTCAAAAGTCTGATCAAGAACCTCTGATTCGTGGCGGGAAATTCACAAACAATCAGATATTGTTCAGGAAGCGTCCCGATCCAGCCGTTTCTAGCCGAATTCGTCCCGATTCTCCCGTTCTCAATCCGAATCTGATCCGATTTGTAACTTCCGCATGGTACAAAACGACCGAATCTGTCGACAGAGATCAGACAGTGACCGGACAGTGAACCGACAGTGAACCGACAAAGACGGTTCGCATTCGGCAAGATCTGGACGCAATCTTGACTCAATCGACAAGAAACGGCAATGAACAATGACAGCGTCTCGATCCACAGGACCACGCCCAGACAACACAGGACATTGTTACGATATTGATCCGATACAGCAGAATCTGTCACGACATAGTCACGATGGTGGAGTTTCCCGAATGTTACGGGACGCACCATACTGTCGGGAGTGCATCGCCGACCTCTGGACCTTTCCCGATTCCCAGGACTCTGTTACGAACGTATAAGACTGCGTTCAGACAATGATAGGTCATTCCAGGTCATTGAGGATAGTAATCCGACTTTTTCACTTTTCGTGTCGTAGGGCTGTCTGATCTCAAACGGGAGCCAAAATCGACACTGTGTGAACGCAGCCTAAGGGAAGTAACTCTCGCTAATGTTGCCCAAATATGCGTACGACTTTTTAGGTTTGTGTTGTTTCCGCATATTCTATGTATTCCAATGTCTTGATGCGTCTATCACAGTCGTCAGCATCCTTCGTGCATAACACAATGTATTCCTCAGGAAGTTTGCTCCAGTGTTGAGTATTGTTTATACTGCTGTAAGCAACAATTAAGCTTTACCACGGCGGGGGATACCGGTAATGAGATTCGCACCTTGTACCCATGTGGGAATTAAAGTCATTCGACGTGACGAGCGAACGCCCCAACCACCAGGCAACGCTTCCCTCCCCCTGCACGGTCGGGGAGACCCGTGAAGATCCGGGGTAGAATAGGTCTTCAGCAACCCATGCTTGCCGTAAAAGGCGACTATGCTTGTCGTAAGAGGCAACTAACGGGATCGGGTGGTCAGGCTCGCTGACTTGGTTGATGCATGTCATCGATTCCAACTGCGTGGATCGATGCTCATGGTGTCAGTCACTGGATTGTCTGACCCAGACTCGATTATTTACAGACTGCCGTCATATTGCTGGAATATTGCTGAGTGCGGCGTTAAACAACAAACCAGCCAACCAACTGGTACTGTTTCTAATAACGGCGAAAGAGATGTTTTGATTTGAATGCCGACAAAGACAGTACAGCTTTCAGGTGAACTGACAAACGAGGGCTCCCAATTACTGTAACATCTACCGCCATCTGACGTGACCTTCTAGGATGACAACTCAAGTTACTGTTGATTTATGAACCTGAGACAAGGCTTGCAGGGTCATTTTGAGTCGTAGCATATACGCATCGCTGCACATACAAACAGATGTAACAAACATTTTCTATACGGTTGTATAATACAGAGGTAAGTTGTCACTGTGAGTCGAACTACAGTAGTTTTATACAGACATATTCATGCTTAGGCTTCGTGTCGCCAGTCATTATGAGGTCAGGCGTTGTACGTTGGTGTTAATATCTCCTACCTCACAGATGTGTCACCAAATGTTCACATCTATAGTATAGTATTACATCTACCTAAATAACACACACCCCACGTCCTCCCCCCGAAGATCAAAGTTAGAATTGGACTTTGGCAGCCCATGTTTGTCGTAAGAGGCGACTGACGGGATCGGATGATCAGCTTCACTGACTTATGATCCCAATTGTGTAGATTGATACGCATGATATCAATCACTGGATAATCTAGTACACACTGAATTAATTACAGACCGCTGTGATATAGCTAGAATATTGCTGAGTGCGGCGTCAAACGACCAATAAACAATCATATCTAAAAACCACTTTATTATGTTAGAGATCGTTTGTATTTGACGCAAATACGATGTTCGAAACTATTTTAACATAGTCTTTTAGGAGAGTTTGGTCTGTGTTCGGTCCGACTTTGTAGAGGTCACAGATCATCGTATTTAAAGCAGACGCTTTGGCTAAAGTGAACCTCCTCTTCACCAGAACCACTCTGAAACGTGTTTGTTCTGACCTGGCTGCCCATGACACTTTGAACGTCGTTTAAGTCGAACATTTGACTTTCCTTTGCATGTGTGTGTGACGATAGCCACCGGTGGGTCAGGATACGCTCACCTTAAAAGCTTTTCGCGACCACCTAGTATCATAACTATTTGATAGTGATTCATAAACACATGTTTATGATGTAATCGGAATCCTTCAATCTATTTCTATTGGATAAGGAAGGGGCTTGTCGCTTTAATTAAATTATTCTTCGTTCCGTTATCTTTATATCATAAATGTCAAGATGACACAGTGAATTGCCACTGCGTGGAATCCAAATATTCTAAAGTAAGCTCTACTTCCCGTCCCTCTTCAGTGCAAATTGACCCTGACAGAAGTATCCGTATTTAACTTCATCTAACTTCCTTGCTGGTACGCGCATAATGCAAATTTGTATCACAATAGTTGGAAATATTTGATACTTTCAAATCCTATTTCGCTTAACGAATTCCTCTTTTACATGTAACCGAGCTCAGCCCCGCTGAAGGACCTCTTGACTTTCTGATTTTCAAGCGATTTACTCGCAATAACGTAATTATGTTTCAAGATTTTGATTAATTTTTCATTACTGCCATGTGTGTATGTTGCATTAAAAAGATGAAGGTACAGTTGTCAATAATTGGCTATTAAGCGAATAATAACGGTAGCCCGGCCCGGCCCGGCCTGACATTTACATTTTGTAGGTATTCCCTAATTTCACTTCCTGTCTCCAGGACTCGCTGCATACATAGGAGGTCACATCATGTCACTTGTGTTTCAAGCCCTGTGAGTCGTCAGTGAATCACGGTCAGCTGATGGCGGAGGATGGTGGTAGGTTTCTTTGTATTTAATAACTGTCAGGTATGGTGTTTACAACTCCAGCATTAGTTTGCTGTCGCACCGTCGTATCGATCAGCAATTACTTTCGCACACGTCACACATGTCTTGCTCTTATGAACATGGGAGTGTGGGATACTCGACAGAGGCGCACACAGGATTTTGAAAAAATGTATGTGGGTGTGTCTGTGTCTGTGTCCGTGTGTGTCTGTGTCCGTGTGTGTGTGTGTGTGTGTGTGTGTCTATGTTTATGTATCAGTGTCTGTGTCTGTCTGTGTATGTGTCTTTGTTGATGACTGCCTTCCTGTTTGTCTGCAGAGTTGCGTCCCTTGGGCACGCTAGGAACCTATGATTGTGGCTTTGAATCCCGGTTCGCCCCGATTATGTTTCTAGGTTTGTCAGCGCCATACCCCTGCTCGTGGGTTCGCCGTAGTGGTAAACGTCTGAGACCTGCATCACTTCGGGCTTTCCTTCAACATTAAGCTGACACGTCATGATATAACTAGATTACAGTTAAAAGCGGCGTTAAACCCAACTCACTCACTCACTCACTGGCCAAAGTAGTTTCACGTCTACGACCTGCATCACTCCGGGGAAACCTCCCAAGTTGACACACCACCATATAACAGAAATACTGATATAATCAGTGTTAAATCCAACTCACTCACTCACTCACTCACTCACTCACACATCCACGTGGTTACACGTCTTCGACCTGCATCACTCCGGGGATACCTACCAAGTTGACACTCCACTACATAACAGACATACTGATATAACCAGTGTCAAACCCGACTCACTCACTCACTCATCCAAGTAGTTTCACGTCTACGACCTGCATCACTCCGGGGACACCTCCCAAGTTGACACACCACCATATAACAGAAATACTGATGTAACCAGTGTTAAACCCGACTCACTCACTCAACTGACTGACCCAAGTAGTCACACGTCTACGACCTGCATCACTCCGGGGACACCTCCCAAGTTGACACACCACCACATAACTGAAATACTGATATAACCAGTGTTAAACCCGACTCACTCACTCACTCATAGAAGAAGTTTCACGTCTACGACCTGCATCACTCAGGGGATACCTACCAAGTTGACACTCCACTACATAACAGACATACTGATATAACCAGTGTCAAACCCAACTCACTCACTCACTCACTCACTCACTCACTCATCCACGTGGTTACACGTCTTCGTCCTGCATCACCCCGGGGATAGCTCCCAAGTTGACACACGACCATATAACAGAAATACTGATATAACCAATGTTAAATCCAACTCACTCACTCACTCACTCACACATCCACGTGGTTACACGTCTTCGACCTGCATCACCCCGGGGATTCCTACCAAGTTGACACACCACCATATAACAGACAAACTGATATAACCAGTGTTAAACCCGACTCACTCACTCACTCATCCAAGAAGTTTCACGTCCACGACCTGCATCACTCTGGAGATACCTCCCAAGTTGACACACCACCATATAACAGAAATACTGATATAACCAGTGTCAAACCCGACTCACTCACTCACTCATCCAAGCAGTTTCACGTCTACGACCTGCATCACTCCGGGGACACCCTCCAAGTTGACACACCACCATATAACAGAAATACTGATGTAACCAGTGTTAAACCCGACTCACTCACTCACTCACTCATAGAAGTTGTTTCACGTCTACGACCTGCATCACTCCGGGGACACCTCCCAAGTTGACACACCACCACATAACTGAAATACTGATATAACCAGTGTTAAACCCGACTGACTTTCTCACTCATAGAAATAGCTTCACGTCTACGACCTGCATCACTCCGGAGACACCTCCCAAGTTGACACACCACCACATAACTGAAATACTGATATAACCAGTGTTAAACCCGACTCACTCACTCACTCATAGAAGTAGTTTCACGTCTACGACCTGCATCACTCCGGAGACACCTCCCAAGTTGACACACCACCACAGAACTGAAATACTGATATAACCAGTGTTAAACCCGACTCACTCACTCACTCATAGAAGAAGTTTCACGTCTACGACCTGCATCACTCCGGGGATACCTACCAAGTTGACACTCCACTACATAACAGACATACTGATATAACCAATGTTAAATCCAACTCACTCACTCCCTCACTCACACATCCACGTGGTTACACGTCTTCGACCTGCATTACTCCGGGGATTCCTACCAAGTTGACACACCACCATATAACAGACAAACTGATATAACCAGCGTTAAACCCGACTCACTCACTCACTCATCCAAGTAGTTTCACGTCCACGACCTGCATCACTCTGGAGATACCTCCCAAGTTGACACACCACCATATAACAGAAATACTGATATAACCAGTGTCAAACCCGACTCACTCACTCACTCATCCAAGTAGTTTCACGTCTACGACCTGCATCACTCCGGGGACACCTCCCAAGTTGACACACCACCATATAACAGAAATACTGATGTAACCAGTGTTAAACCCGACTCACTCACTCAACTGACTGACCCAAGTAGTCACACGTCTACGACCTGCATCACTCCGGAGACACCTCCCAAATTGACACACCACCACATAACTGAAATACTGATATAACCAGTGTTAAACCCGACTCACTCACTCACTCATAGAAGTAGTTTCACGTCTACGACCTGCATCACTCCGGGGACACCTCCCAAGTTGACACACCACCACATAACTGAAATACTGATATAACCAGTGTTAAACCCGACTCACTCACTCACTCATAGAAGTAGTTTCACGTCTACGACCTGCATCACTCCGGAGACACCTCCCAAGTTGACACACCACCACATAACTGAAATACTGATATAACCAGTGTTAAACCCGACTCACTCACTCACTCATTCATAGAAGTATATTACGTCTACGACCTGCATCACTCCGGGGACACCTTCCAAGTTGACACACCACCACATAACTGAAATACTGATATAACCAGTGTTAAACCCGACTCACTCACTCACTCATAGAAGTAGTTTCACGTCTACGACCTGCATCACTCAGGGGATACCTCCCAAGTTGACACACCACCACATAACTGAAATACTGATATAACCAGTGTAAAGCCCGACTCACTCACTCACTCACTCACTCACTTACTCATCCACGTAGTTATACGTCCACGACCTGCATCACTCCGGGGATACCTCCCAAGTTGACACACCACCATATAACAGAAATACTGATATAACCAGTGTTAAATCCAACTCACTCACTCACTCACTCACTCACTCACTCATCCACGTGGTTACACGTCTTCGTCCTGCATCACCCCGGGGATACCTCCCAAGTTGACACTCCACCATATAACAGACATGCTGATATAACCAGTGTTAAACCCGACTCACTCACTCACTCATCCAAGTAGTTTCACGTCCACGACCTGTATCACTCTGGGGATACCTACCAAGTTGACACACCACCATATAACAGAAATACTGATATAACAAGTGTTAAACTCAACTCACTCACTCATTCACTCATCCAAGTAGTTTCACGTCTACGACCTGCATCATTCCGGGGACACCTCCCAAGTTGACACTCCGCCATATAACAGAAATACTGATATAACCAGTGTTAAACACAATTAACTCATGGACGTTTGTGTCCAACACCACCTGTACTAAACGCCGGATACTATGGATGCGAGGGAAGAGACACGGCGAACGATTATGAGTGTGAAAATTAACCTCCCACTTTGTATGCTCCTGTAGACAAGTATTTCTCACGTGTGGGTGTTGCAATGTATTGCTTAAAAGTTGTTCGATCAAGGTTACAATTACTAAGGCCAAAGTAAAGCTTTCAAAACGTTTTACGGTGGACATGTGCAGGACATGTCCGACAGGACACGAATGATGTCCGATGCAATTCCCTATTTTGAATTGTACCATATGTTCCCGTGTGTTATTTTCAGGTGAATAAATGACTTGCCTTTGCATGTGTTTGTGCCTCCGGTGGGGCAGGATACGCTCACGTTTTCGCCAATATCTGGTGTCATCATTATCTGATAGTGATTCATAAACACATTCTCATTAGAAAGTCGGAGAAAATCGCATCACAAGGGATACATATTCCAAATCTTTTGGCAGAGATTACTCATGAATATGAAAAGGGTTTTGTCGCTTTTAGTCAGAACAGGTGTGGTCCTGCTTTTATATACATACAAACATAAAATTAAAATAAAATATCTAGTAAGATAGGTTTTATTTCCTTGTAGACACTGTGAGTGAGTTGGTTTTAACGCCCACTCGTTTTATCTCGGCTTATCAGGTAAATGTGGGAGGAAAGGCCGAAGTGGTGGTCTTAGACGTTTACCAGATCGGTGAAACCCACGAGCACGGGTAAGGCGCTGACAAACCTAGAAACATAATCGGGGCGAACCGGGATTCGAACCCACATCATAGGTTTCTGGCGTGCCCAAGGGACGCAACTCTGCACAGCGAATCGCGGCACCTTAGACGACTGGACCACCCATGTAGATACTGTAACTATTAGCGGAAGGTCTTTTACAATTTTGGAACATACACATTTTAGTTGTATCTTTGCAGATATCGATCCATCCCATGGTGATGGCAAACCGACACAAGAACAGATAGAAATGGTTTCCCTGAGGTGAGAGGCTATTGTGCATACTTCAGTGACAAGGCAGACACAATATTATGGATAACAACTTCTTTAATACTGTGAATACTTAATACTTATATTGTTATGCATAAAATTGTGTCTACCCTGTCTTCCGTCAACTTCCGTCAACTTCCGTCAACTTCTAAGTAAAAAATTCTTACTTCAGTGTTTGAATACATCCACTCGATAGTTGCAATAGTATCCACCCGACTAGATGGGCTGATATCAGGTAGGCTCCCTGAAGGTTAAAAAAAGTATTTTTTTATATTTCTTGCTCCTCTGAAGTTGTATTTATGTTCCAAACTGAAACAGAGGTATTATGAACCTTACACAAACGCCTGTATTCATTCGTCCATCTGTGATCAATTTACACTCATTATATTACACATAAGGGCACGAATATATGTTTCAGTATTTCTTACTGACCCTCGTCGTCAGAGCATTATGCGAAAATCTCCCAAGCAACTATGAACGCATTCTCGTAAATAATTGACGTCATTCACTGAGATAATGACGTCATCCACTGTTCATGATGTCATGACGATGTTATGTGACGTCGCTCAAGACTCTGACATTATTTCAACCCGGACTGATCATCATGGGTTATTCTCTGTTGGGGAACTACCTGTGAAACATAATATTCGCTTCTGTCGTCCAGCCAAGAATGTTTGATTGTTTGTTGTCAGCAATGTTACAGCTTTATGACGGCGGTCTGTATCAAATCGAGTCTGGACCAGACAATCCAGTGATTGACATACTGGGCATCGATCCACGCAGTTGGTATCGATGACATGCATCAACCAAGTCAGCGAGCCTGACCACCCGATCTCGTTAGTCGCCTCTTACGACAAGCATAGTCGCCTCATGACAGGCCGCTGTCACGTGGCTGGAATATTGCTGGGTGCAGCGTTAAACAAACAAACAAACAAACTAACATTAACATAAGTTTTCTTTATAAAATTACATTGTGTCTATGCATCATTTTTTGCAGAGACGTGGAAAACAACACCTATACTTCTTATACGGAAAGGTAAGTTAAAATGATCCAAAATATATATTCGGGAAGATGTTCTTAAACTAGAACATAATACATCACAGAACTGTTCATTCCACATCACTCACATAAAGTTTTGCATACACATATAAGTAATTACAATAAAGAGCCAAGCGTGGATGAACATACTGTGAAATTTTAGTGTATTTCTACAAAGAAAGATGTGCCTTTTATGTCAAACTTTGGTTTGCATAGTTCTGACAAGGCGGTCTGGATCACTGCAACCATTGTGCACACATATCATGTAACCCATATCATTCTTCCTGTGTGATAAACCTAAATATCTATTAACGATATTGGCATGACATTAGAAATTATAAAGAAACAAGTCTCGTCACGTGTCATTGTCTCTTTTGGACGTTGGTGTAGCCTAGTTGTCAAAGCAGTCGTTCGTTCGAGCATGGTATAATGTGAGAAGCCGATTGATGGTGTCATCCGCCGTTATATTGCTGGAATACTGTCAATACATCAACAAGAGGGCACGCATGGCAAGTCGTCGAAGGCGCCGCGATTCGCTGTGCAGAGTTGCGTCCCTTGGGCACGCCAGAAACCTATGATTGTGGGTTCCAATCCCGGTTCGCCCCGATTATGTTTCTAGGTTTGCCAGCACCATACCCGTGCTCGTGGATTTCGCCGAAGTGGTAAACGTCTGAGACCTGCATCACTTTGGACTTTCCTCCCACATTAAGCTGACACGCATTGATATGCCTGGAATACTGTTAAAAGCGGCGTTAAACCCAAATCACTCACTCACTCAGTACATGTACAACCTCACTCACTCATTCACTCACTTAATTTCTCATTTGTTTCAGTTTTCATGATGTTTATGTCTGGATGCCAAGAGGGAAACAGGTGGGACACGCATCTGTTATGTTGAGTAATCGTACGTACATCAGCTTATGGCCAGACGACGACAAAACGAAATGTAGAGTGTTTAAGAAGGCTATGGACAGAAGCGTCCGCCCAGAAGACGACATTTATAAAGAATCATTCGAGCCACATTATACTTTCAGGATACCTGCTAAAAAGTTGGATGTATTAAAAATGCAAGCTTTCTGGGATGAATGGAAAAGAACCGGTGAATACGGTTTATTTTTCAAAAACTGTTGCTGGCTTGTGTACAGCATCTTGCGTGAAGGGGGCGCACCTAGAAGTGCAACTGTGTTGTGGCGACCAGAAACATTACGAAGGTACTTGAGGATCTATGAGAATGATGGACATTGGATCAGAGCCTTCTTCAATCTATGGTGATTACACTTCTGAACGAATGGATTCTCCATGTACCTGTGGTGCATGACCTCTGCTAAATGAATGGACGAAAGCTCCCTTGGACCGACATCAATGGCCTCAACGTTCACTCGGGAGGATTCTACATGTGTGGCATGTCATTTGTATCACAATATTTATAGTGAATCGTGAGGTTATGATCTGTCTTCCCTTTCATTTGACAGAGATGCGGTTCCCCGTTGGTGGGGAAGTTGGGCATTTGGTATGAATACATCATTACAAGTCTGAGTGCAAGACACTATTGCTCACCAAGAACAAGTGAACGAAATATGTCCAGAGAAAGTATTCGCCAATTAACAAGGAGAGCATGGCTAATAATTGGCTGCATAATGAAGTCTGTTGGGGACAACAGGTCCGCCATGGCATCTGCTCGAAACTTAAAAGAACAGTCTTACGGTTACAAGGCAGTTTCTTATTTGTATATTTTTATATATTTTTACAACATCGTCAAATTTTCAATCCGTGTCCCTCATGGCGAGATAGTGGATATGTGGACATTCAATGCAATGGCCACATGTCCGTTCGGAGAGAGGAAGGTCCGGTGATCGATCCCCGGCCGCGTCATACCAAAAGACGTTAAAAGATGGTACTTGTTGTTACCTTGTCTGGCGCTCGGCATTAAGGGGCTAAAACATGCACTTGTCGGCACGGATTCAGTATTCCGTGTCTGAGTGAGGTATTCATGTTAAACTGCGGCATGGTATCTCAGTGAGCTAGCACTATATATCGGCATCAGTCCGGACCAGAACAAGCAGCCACACACAAACACACGTCCATGTACGTCGCTATATAAGTGCAATAATCTTGGACGCGACGTTAAACCCCATTTCACCTCACCACAAACGACGGAAAGCTGATGTGCCCTTTGATACGGTTGGTTGGTTTGTTGTTTAACGCCGCACTCAGCAATATTCTAGCTATATGATGGCGGTCTGTAAATAATCCAGTCTGGACCAGACATTCCAGTGATTGATATCATGAGCATCGATCCACGCAATTGGGATCGATGAGATGCATCAACCAAGTCAGCGAGCCTGACCACCTGATCCCGTTAGTCGCCTTTTACGGCAAGTATGGGTTGCTGAAGACCTATTCTACCCAGGAATCTTCACGGGTCTGTGCCCTTTAAAATATAAAGCGACAAAAATCCTAATCCTAATTGTAAGAGCCAAAACTATTTTATGAGTGTTTCAGTAAACCTCTTGCAATGCGCAAAGGGACGTAACTCTGTATACTGTAGACAGTCATTCGTGCTATGTTCACAATTTTCGTGTGCTGTGTTCATTTGAATATTGTTTTAGTGAACATGTTAAATTGTGTATGCAGCATATTGGTGAAATTTGAGTTTGAAGTATGTATAGCATGTTCAGGGCAACAGTATTTGTTTTCTATCTGTTAAAGTTAATTGTATCATATGAGTGAATGGTGAAACGGAGAAAGAAATAAACAGAATAATCATCGGATGGGAGAAATTTGTATTTTATTCATTATACGGGTTTGGAGTCTGTAAAATGAAGGGGAATGACTTATTCAGGATAGGTTTTTTACTAATTAGCTGTCACATTCTGTGACTTAGTTATGTTTCGTAATGTCCATAATCCATTCAATTTGTTCATTTTGGTTTTAAAAGAGCTAAAAATATATAGAGAAATATATATCCTTTCGCTAAAGGTAACCGGTTTACATTTTGTGAGAATAAACTATTGCGCATTGAGCGATTATCTCCTTTAGCTGTAGGCGTAGTATATATAGCTTTATCACGCACTGACCTTGCAATGCTGTACATCATATCTTATTCAAGCTGTATCACTGAGAGTGAGTGATTATCTCACAAACCGAATAGCTCCATTGCGCACTACCTTTGCAATGTATCGTATGTTATTCAGGCAGCCAGCGAGAAAGGTTCTCGGGAGGGGAGAATTCAGGTCAAGCGTGTAATGTGCTATCAATCTTCCTCCCTTCACACTGCTATTGCAACTAATCGTTCAACACGATTAAATACTAGGCGTGTCTATAAAGTATGACTGTTCAATAAACAACACATGTAAAACAACGGGCTTGTTATGAGATATTTGTAATTAGTTGTCTTCACAATCACATATATATGGTCTTCCTGTGCATTGTTGAGCACACTATTGTTTCAAGTAGTTCACTGTATGTAATGTATGAGTCATGCCGTTTCATGCGGCGGTTTACGGTTCTGCATGGTTTATTGCTTTGGCAGTTTCTTAAACTTACGGCAGAGATTTTACACCCGTATATGTTCATTGCTTCTGGATACATAGCAAATCAACAGGTTGGTCTGTGGTTTGCAGTTATGTTCTTAAAACATAACACGGATGCATGATATGTTCACGATTTTGGGGTTGAACATGGTAACATTCTTCTGAACATACTTCAAATCTAAATCTAATCACAACACAAACCCAGTTAACCAAATGGAACCGAACACGATAGTAATGAGTAAGTGAGTGAGTTGGGTTGAGTGGCAATTCGCTATGCGGAGTTGTGTCCCTTGGGCATGCCAGAAACCTATGACAGTGTGTTGGAATCCCGGTTCGCCCCGATTAAGGTTTGTCAGCACCACACCCGTTTTCGTGGGTTTCACCGAAGTGGTAAACGTCTGAGACCTGCATCACTTCTGGCTTTCCTCCCACATTAAGCCGCGACATAGCTGGTATACTGTTAAAAGCAGAGTTAAACCAAACTCACTGCATAAAGCAGAGTCGATTGTACGATTCCGACTATATCATGAGCATTTGTTTATGAATCACTATTAAATAGTAATGATACCAGGTCATCGTGAAAAGGTGAGCGTATCCTACCCCACCGGCAAAAGTTGGTTGGTTGGTTTGTTGTTTAACGCCGCACTCAGCAATATTCAAGCTATATGACGGCGGTCTGTAAATAATCGAGTCTGGACCAGACAATCCAGTGATTTACACCATGAACATCGATCCACGCAATTGGGATCGATGACATGCATCAACCAAGTCAGCGAGCCTGACCACCCGATCCCGTAAGTCGCCTTTTACGACAAGCATAGTCACCTTTTACGGCAAGTATGGGTTGCTGAAGATCTATCCAACCCCGGAATCTTCACGGGTCCCACCGACAAAAGAACACTTTTTTTAATTCAAAACGACGACCACATGACTACATTCTTTGGTTATTGAAAAGTGATCATCAGTTCAACTCCATCACATTATACTTTGACGTGGGTTTCAGCACCTAAGATGGTAGTCAAACAAATATTCGGTTTTTTCTGAGCCTGCACCTGAATACCTTCAAGTTGTTATCTCTGACGTGACATGGTTTGGACATACACACTGGGTGGAACCTAGACAAAAGGCTGCAAATTTGTATCTAATCACTAACTGATAGTTATAATAGACACATGCGGGGGCACGGGTGGCCCAGTCGTCTAAGGCGCCGCGATTCGCTGTGCAGAGTTGCGTCCCTTGGGCACGCCAGAAACCTATGATTGTGGGTTCGAATCCCAGTTCGCCCCGATTATGTTTCTAGGTTTGTCAGCACCATACCCGTGCTCGTGGGTTTCACCGAAGTGGTAAACGTCTGAGACCTACATGACTTCGGGCTTTCCTCCCACATTAAGCTGACACGCCGTGATATAACTGGAATAATGTTAAAAGCGGCGTTAAACCCAACTCACTCACTCACTCACTCACTATAACACATGCTTATGATGTATTCGGAATCGTACAACGGATTTTGCTTTTTACGAATCTCTCAATCAGGCATTGATCAGTTAAACACGCTATACGTGGACATACACTGACAAAGCACTTTGTCATGGAGTATTTGTATGTATGTACAAAATATAACACACTAAGGCATGATCCTTATGTAGATATATTGACATAAGTACAATTGATTAGCACCACCCAGGGGTCCAAGAGCCGCCATACAGCCTGGGGTCAGATGCAGGATCCGTATCGGGAAAATTGGCTGGCACCATCGTCTTCTTGTAGTCCTCAAACCGGGCACGCAAATACGCCACCATGTCCGGCATCTGCTGTGCAAGGTCGTTGTGCTCAGTGGGATCCTCTGCGTGGGTATCAGAATATTTGTAAAAACTTTGGGAGAGAGCTTTTTTACTTATAAGTTAACAAAAAATATATGTTCATCTTTATAATACATTGCGTGTAATGGGGTTTAGACTGATTAGGTTAAACCCACAGCTTGCCTTGCAGCAGTACACATTGCGTGTAATGGGGTTTAGATTGATTAGGTAAAACCCACAACTGGCCTTGCAGCAGTATACATTGCGTGTAATGGGGTTTAGATTGATTAGGTTAAACCCACAGCTGGCCTTGCAGCAGTACACATAGCGTGTAATGGGGTTTAGACTGATTAGGTTAAACCCACAGCTGGCCTTGCAGCTGTACACATTGCGTGTAATGGGGTTTTGATTGATTATGTTAAACCCACAGCTGGCCTTGCAGCAGTATACATTGTGTGTAATGGGGTTTTGATTGATTAGGTTAAACCCACAGCTGGCCTTGCAGCAGTACACGTTCGTGTTTAAATGAACTATATACTGTACATTACGGAGATTTAGGAAGGTATGTATAAGTGTACCTCTTATGTTGAAGAGATGTAATGGTTCATCTCCTGTAGTGTAAACTGTCTGTTCATACTTGTCATCCTGGGTTCTGTTCATGGGTTGGTGCCAGCCATCAGGACCTCCAGGGTACCCCAGGATCAGCTTGTAGTCGCCTACTCTGATACATACGAATATAATTGTTACAATTGGTATTTGCACAGTTAGAATTGGTTTTTATTTGTTTTACATGATAACTATAGTAATGAGTGCAATTTGATATGGGCCATGTGATATTTCATCTTGTTACTTCCAAATTGGAACAATAAGTTAACCCAGATTATCTATAAAATCAGTGTGAAACCAACAAACAACAAAGAAATGGTATACACATTACAATTGTATATTAATATTAATTGGGTTTACAAATCAATATAAATTACTGCATATCCATTACAATGGCAGTACACAAAAGTGTGGCAGTACAAAATTCAATTGCAGTATAAAATATAATAGAAGTGGTAATAATATTCATTCAGCAGTAACAGTGGTAAAGCTTGCAAAATAGGCCGAGGCTGGATACCTAGGGTGAAAACAATTATCTTCACGCATCCGCTGGTCCTGAGGTAACATGAGATGTGATGCGAGATACGAGAGTCATGTCCTTACTCCTCTTATATAGTCTAAATATCTTCTAGAAGGTTCTGTACAGTGCTGGACTAGTCCAGCTGTTCCAGAAGATTCTAGATTACACTTGACTTTGACAAAGAACCATCTCAATATAGTGACATCAACACCACTCCTTAAATAAGATAGGACTACATTCCTGGCATCTAATTATTATCAAAACACAATGCTATGAACTTCAACTGAATCTCAACAGAAACTATGTAATAGAAATACAACACCATTTAACAATAAATTACTCTGCCAAAAACAATCTGAAGTAGGTTGTCATATGAATATGCAAATCGCCATGAGGATAACAAATCAAACATGTGAAGTCAGATAATCGGCTCATTCGTCACCACTCGCCCCTTTCCGTAACCTGCAAGAAGAATCGTCCCCCTATCGATGAATGTTATGTGCGAAAATACGACAAACCAATCAGAATGCGCGCATGATTTCAAGTTCTTCGTCAAAGAATCCCTCAGAAATAATTTTTGATTTTACACATGTCTTGCATCTAAAAATATACCCAAGACACGGTAACATGTGTTCAATCATACTGTATAATTCCGCATGTCCCGATGTGCTTCAAAATGCATCTGAAATATATATAACATACGGGGAAATATATGTTAACCATTAGGCAACGAGTTGACAATTGTTTTAGGTACGCCCGTTTGCGCTAAGACCGAACCCGGTCGCAAAAATGGCCACGAGAGGGGCAAGAGTGGCTATTCGGCTTGTCCCGGAATAACACGAGTTG